GCAATGCCCCACGAGGAGATGTGTTCGAGATCGGAGTCCAGTGACGCAGTAACTGCACTACGGTCACCATCGATGTTTTGGGCATGGCGGGCAGTGCGGTAGGAGGGAGCAGTGAAGGGTGGCGTCATCAGCAAAAGAATGGATCGGGTTGGTAGTTTGGGAAAGGAGATCATTGATACATAGAAGGAAGAGGGTGGGTGCAAATACTGAACCATGGGGAGCACCAGCGTTCACAGGGAATGGCTGGGATAGGACCCCATCAACTCGGACGGAGATGGTTCGTTTACTGAGGAAACTTGATATCCATGCTACGAGCGCCCGAGGGAACCCGAACATGGGTAGTTTCCCCAGTAGACCTTCGTGCCAAACTCGGTCAAATGCCTTTGAGATGTCAAGCGAGACCAGGTGTGTTTCTCCGTGGTTATCGAGTGGAGCTGACCAGGATTGAGAGACAAGCGCCAGCAGGTCACCGGTGGAACGACGCGGTCGAAAGCCATACTGGCGGTCGGTCAGTAATCCTTCACGTTCTAGGAACATGTAGCTGGCCAGAGATGATAGTTTCAAATACTTTAAAAAGAACAGACGTGAGGGAAATAGGTCGGTAATTGTTGTGGTTAGAAAGGCCACCGCGTTTGGGAATGGCAAAAATCACGGCGTGCCTCCCAGGGGTTGGAAAGGAAGAAAGTTGGAGGGAAAGACTGAAAAGACAAGGCTTCGATAGATCAGGCATGGTAGTGAGCCGGGCGATGGCAGAGTCGCCTACCACAATGATGTAGGATTTCGATGAGTGTCAAGGCCGAGCGTTCACTTCTCGACTGGATCCCGGTTAACAGCCGATTTTGCGCTGTACGTCTGGATGGTTCAGTACTGGTCAACAGCTACAGAACGAAGCGTCGATGCTTATTCGTCGTATCCGCGTATGCACCGACTGATTGCAGTTCGCCTGAAAGGGAAGATGAATTTTACAAGGACCTCTTTTAACTGCTACGAAGTGATTGGTCAACAAAAATCGTGGTAGTCGCTGTAAACTTCAATGCCCAAGTGGGATCCCTGGACGAAACCGAAAGGCTACTTGATGGCTCACATGCAATTCCAGCTAACCGGACTGACAACGGAGAACGCCTACTCCAACTTTGCGCTGACCACGGAATGTTTCCGCCAAGCACAAGAGATGCCTTACATGGAGACCGCCAACCTCTTTCCAGGACTGGACTCAAATCGACCACATCGCTATCAGCCACCGCTGCGAGCATAAAGTAAAGACTGCAGCTTCTACTGGTCAAAACCCATGGGCCTGGACCATGCTCTGCTACGAGCGAGAATCTCCCTGCGCCTAGCAAACAACCGCCTAAAACGGATGCCCACAATACAGTGTCAGCAATGATTGCAAATCGGCCTTAGAGGCGGAACTATCAGATCGCCTCTCAGATCAACCATCATCCGAAGGACTCAGCGAACACTGAACGGAAACTAAGGGAGCGATCCAAATGTAAAACAAAACAACCGCAGGTTATGGCACACGGTAAAATCGAAAACGATGGATCTCCGCGACCTCGGTTGCCTTGAGGGAGGTTCGCAAAGCCATTCCTTCGAATTAAAAACACGACAAATAGCATAAATCCCTTAAAAGCCACCTCATTAAGAGTGTGAGGAATGACCGCGAAAAGTGGTGGGTAGGAAAGTGTGGAGAGATGGAGAAGGCTGCGGCTATCGGTAATAGTCGCAATCTCTTCCGATTAATTAGGAGCACAGGTCCAACGAAAGCAGGCGTAAGTAAGGTAATTGAGGAGTACCACGGCACACTGAGTCATATTCAGCAACGCCGTCTAGATCGATGGGCAGAACATTTTAAAGCACAGTTCAGCTGGCCCCCGTCGACAAATGACCTCCCTATACCCGCTTCAACTGTGCAAATACTGCCAGTTGACATCAGTTCTCCATCTGAAATGGAGGTTCCCAGAGAAATAAATTACCTCAAAAGGTATAAGGCTCCCGGCCCCGACGGGCTGTTCCCATCGGTTTCTAAGGATGGAGGTTGAACCTTGGTTTGGGGGTTAACGAAAATTCTAGGCTCAACATGGGAAAGGAAACAGGTTCCAACTGAATCGGTGATCGTACCGATTTACAAGAAAAGCGACAGATCCCATTGTGAAAACCATAGAGCAACTAGTTAAATCAACTTCGTCTCTAAACTTCTCGCCAGAACCATACTCCGTCGTTTGTCTGTCGCACGAGAAGAGTGCACACGCGAGAACCAGACTGGTTTTAGACCTGGTCGAGGTTATATCGACCATATCTTCACTCTGCGCCAAATTCTAGAACACAGACACTCGTTTCGTTGACCCACGACCTCTGTCCTCCTCGATCTGAAAGCGGTTTTCGACTCATTCGGTTACCCGAAACTCTGGCGCTACCTTTCCCTGAAGAGTGTACCCGAGAAGTTTATTTCAATCCCTCTGCACTAATAACCGAAGTAGAGTCCGAGCTTACGACACTTTTTTACCCAAGTTCACTACAGAAAGTGGTGTTCGTCAAAGGTACTCTCTATCTCCTTTTATATTTAACTTTGTTATAGATTTGATTATGGAAACAGCCCTATCCTCGCGCAAGGATGGCAGACTGTCTGATCTGGAGTATGCTGACGACGTTGTGATGCTAAGTAAAGACGCAGGTAAGTTGCAAGCTTTTCTGGATAGTTTGAGTGCTAGCGTAGTCATGTTTGGTATGCTTTTTGCAATTTTAAAGTGTAAAATGTTGCTCCAAGATTGGGTTGTCTAGCCCCCAACCTCACCAAGACTAGGGAAGTATTAGAAGAAGCAGACCAATTTTGCTATCTGGGCAGCTATATCTCACCTAGCGGACGGATCACAGATGAAGCGACGGCGCACATACAAAAGGCTCGGTTGGCATTTGCCAACTTGAGACATCTGTGACGCCATCGCGACATCCAGCTGTCTATGAAGGGTCGAGTATATGCTGCAGCAGTCCGGCCAGTGCTACTCTACGCTGCAGAGACTTGATCATTACGGGAACAGGATAAAAATAGATTGTCGGTGCTCGAACACCGCTCTCTACTACACGAGTCTCGTGGGGCAACCGGACGAGCAATGCTGAGGTTAGGCGTAGAGTTTTAGGTAATCGCGGTCGTCCACTAGTGCAAGTGTAGTGACAGTGTCAACCCTTTCCGCTCATACACTTTTTCCATCTTCCGGACCAAGATTACCTCGTTGGTCACGGTACGTTGACTTTCACTTTCTGCACGCTTACTCACCTGTACGCTTCTCTCTCTACTCTCCAGCTCATTACAATACAACCGTCTTTGAGGTTTCGTGATATCTGTCGTTCTGCTTTGGTTCGTTACCTCGTCTGTTGTTAGAAGTACGGATTCGTGGACATCATTAGCCCAGAGACTAAATCGGTGAGCCCGACGTGATATTTGTACTTTTTTAGTTATCGCGCATTTTAGTTTCGTAATTACTGTTATATTATTCCACGTGCTTAGTGTAGTGTACCAAGGCAGAACGAACTGACCGCTCCTAACTGTAACTCTCCTCTCGGTTGCCTTCCAGGTATTTCAGCACCAGTTTGGCAAGAACAACCGAAAGAAGACCTGAACGACATAGATCGAAACCAAGACGAGAACTCACATTGTTGTTAAAATGATAAGCTATTGATTTTATCGGTTTTTATACACGTTTTGAATTGCACCCCCGCGACTGCGTTGAACCGCTGTAAAACCAGTACGGAAATAAACCCTAAGTTCCGATTGTTCCATTCTGTGGTTCTCCGCGTGTTTCCGCTCTGTGTGAACGTATTACGGGTGCTGACGAACCTACAGTCCGTTATAATCATTTCCAGATTGTACGTCACGGAAATTCTACTCAATTTGGCTGGTAACGAACCGTAGCACATCACAGATTTGGCGACCCTGCCAGGATGCCTCGCAATGCTAAAAGTGATTCTGAGAAACAGGAACCTTCCGAACATTCCACATCACTTTTCGGCGTTCTCGTGCAACGTATCTTCACCCTTCTCTCCTCTGTCATTTAATCCGGAATTGTACGAACACAATCTACCCCATCCGTCCCCCCACCCCACCCCCCATCCGCAAAATTTCACATGGGCGATGATTTCCACCGTTGGGCTCGGGCGGCCCAGGACTATATCGAACTTGTTCCGCCACCAGACCGCAGAATTGTGCTGCTATCTCTCATTGAGGGCGAGGCCAATGATATTGCGCGAGACGAAGGTGTCCTCGATGCCCCCATCACTCCAGAAGCCTTCCAGAGACTTCGGGACTGTCTCACAGATTGCCTCCACGAAGCGAAATTTTTTCATCAATAGGTAATCGCGGTCGTCCACTAGAGCAAGTAGTCGACCTTCATAGATTACGTTGGTTGGGGCGTGTTAAGCATGTCGCCAGATAGGCTGCCACGGCGAGTAATGTTTCCTGAGGCAGGTAGCGATTGGAAAAAGATCAAGGGAGGTCAAACTAAGAACTGGGCTGGTCCTGCAGGTTGGGAGTTCGACTCGAGTTAGCGTCTTAGTCGGTAAAACGGTAGAAAAGTAATTGATCCAAGTGAATGGGCCCCTACTTTACTTCACCCGCTGCCTTGCGGTCAGGTTCTTGTTAGGCTTCGAACGAGAACCCTAATCATTCTCCTGCTTAGTGGCTGGCAGTACCCGTCTATCAAACTCTAATGCACACGCAAACAAAAAATAATTGCATACTGCATCGGTCGTCGCGCAGGATAACCAGGACCGCGCTGTCCATTGCATAGAGCGGGGTGGGTAGCGATAAGTGGGCCACTGCTCAGATATCCCAACCTTTGTTTAACTCTTTATCTTCCGTTCCCAACCCTATCCCTCTACCCCTTCTTCCAACCAGTAACATTCCCTTAGACAACTTGTTCTTCACTCGCTAGAGTTCGTCGCCAAGTAGCCCGGTAATTAGTTTAGCATTAAATAAATTGCAGATTCTGAAGTATCGTCAGCCACTGAATCTGGGGGCGTTCAACGTGAGGACTTTGATACAGATAGATCAATAAGCGTGTCTGGCGCGTACAATGGACTCTTTGGGGATTGATGTCTGTGTATCGGAGACGCGAATCCAGGATCCTAGTACTACAAACCACTCAAGTGCACCGGGGTTGTCTTCGAGGTTCTTCCTCCGCGCGTCAGGTGATGACGAGCCCGTTTAGTAGGCCAGCGTGGTGTGGGCATTGTACTCAATAACAGAGCTGAAGCTGCACTACTCGATTGGGTCCCCGTCAATAATCGTTTATGTACGATGCAGCTCCAAGGGTCCATCAGCGTCCGGAAGGGAAGGAACATCAAAAGGTGTTTGTATGCTCCGACGAACTGCAGTTCTGACGCACAAAAGGACGACTTTTATGATAAACTCATCGAACTCATTCGAAGTTCCGATATAGTTGTTCTCACAGGTGATTTTAACGCTCAAGTCGGAAAACTGAGCGCATCGGGAGCTTTCCTAGGCGGTCATTGTGAACTACCCTGCCAACGAACAGATAATGGCGATCGACTTCTTCAGTTCTATCATCATCTGTTCCTATCCAGCACCAACTTCCGTCACAGCTCTCAACGGACAGCAACGTGGCGCTCCAATTTAACTGGTACGCTAACTCAAATAGACCACATACCGTTGGCGTGGCTCAGTACAAAACTGCAGGTCCTATTGGACCACCAGCGTTAAATCTGATCATGCATTAGTGTTGATGCAGTTCACTCTCCAACTCAGTGGTCAAAAAACCCCACCAAACACGTTTGGCAGATCATCGTTTATCTGATCCAGCCGTTCGTGCCCATTTTTAATCAGAACTAGGGCAAGAGCTAAACGTTGGGCGGAGTGGTAGCGTAGATGAACAATGGGATCAGATTAGACGAGCAATGCACTCTGTTGCGAGAGTTGCTTGTGGGTCTGAAGCGGTAGCCCACCCGAGGCATTGGATATCTGGTGATTTAGTAGCACTGATGGAGAAAAAGCAGCAAATCCCCACCGCCCGGGATCAAAGCAGGGGTAGGTGGCGTCTGCAACGACAACTCAAGAAAGATCGTGAGAATTGGCGGACAACGATAGCTAGTGAAATGGAAGTCGCAGCTGCATCACGGAATAGTCAAAGACTGTTCCAACTGATACGCAACACTGGAGGTCGGAGAACCACATTTAGTTAAACAATGTGACAAAAGTGGACAAGCGATTCACAATACGGAACAACGGCTTGACCGGTGAGCGGAGTACTTCATCGAACAGTTCATCTGGTGCTAACCAGCCTATATCGTCTGTTGTAGTTGTGGCTCCATGGGAAGTATCAGGTGAACCTCCTACTGCAGCAGAAGTTCAATCATGCATCCAAGCCCTGAAGGAAGGAAAAGCAGCAGGACCGGACGGGTTTCTCCCCACTCTTCTCAATTTGGGAGGCGATGACCTCGTAGACTCCATAAGAGATCTAACGCGTATCATCTGGTCACATGAGCGCATTCCATCATCCTGGAGCGAATCATTGATTGTTCCCATTTTTAAGAAGGGATCTCACAATGACTGCGCAAACCACCGTGGAATTCTTTTTATATTACACAAAGTGAATTACAGTAAACGGGGAAATTCCCATGAACAAATAGCATACTGTAAAGGGGAGAGTAAAGAAAACATTCACGTAAGATCCAATTTATTGATTCTGCTTTTAAAAAGTGCAGCGTTGTAAGTTGGGGGAAAAACAGCAAGTGGGAAGGTGTTCCACAGTTTGGCAGGTCGGGGAAAAAAAGAAGATTGGAGTAGAGAGGTACGACATCTGGGAACAGAAACCTGATAAGGATGACTAGATGCCTGTGTACGAGATGGACGGGTAAAAGTTGCAGGAAGAGGAACTGCCGAGGCAAGTTCCGAAGAACAAAAACGAAAGTAGTAACGGAAGAAGAGGGACAATGAAGCAACTGCATGACGATGGGCTAGCGACTGTAGACTGGATGTTAGGGAAGGATCGTCGATTAGCCGGATGGCCTTTCGTTGAACACGATCAAGAAGGGAAAGGGAAGAGGACGAAGCCCC